CATGAATTACATGTATGGCGTTTAACAGATGAAAAAATCATTGCTAGTGCACATTTACAACGAAAAACTTTATCAAATTATATGTTAGTTGCTGAAAAAGTAAAAAACTTTTTTCATTCCATTGGCATACATTCTGTAACAATGCAATATGAATGTGATGATGATCAACAAATACCACTATTACGTCGAAATGCAGATAGTCAATCGAAATTAGCAGGTGACTGTTTACTTCGTTGTGAAAATAATGCATGTGATACTCAAACATGTTGTACAATAAAATTGGTTCGTTCAAATGCATTATTAAATACTAATGACAATAATATACAAGTATTTTCTGTTACTGAACCATATCAATATGATAATCCTTCAATGACTCAAAATTCAACTGATTTTTCAATTGAAAATGAAAAACTTTAAACTATGTTATTTTTATCGATCAATAATACAGGAAATATTATGTAAATAAATTTTTTTTCTGTGTGTGTGATTATTATAATACAAAGACAACAAGTAGTATTTTTCAGAAAATGTAAATTCATAATAAAAAAGAAAAAGTTCGTTGTATGAAAATTAAATATTTAAAAATTCGCACAGATTAAGAACGTTCACTAGAAAATACAAAGAGTTTAGTGTGTTCAAAACAAAAAAAAAAGAATTCTGTCACCACTATATGATAGATACTTGATCAATTATCCTATTTTAATTTTTCTCTCTATATAAGGGTTTGAAGGTATTCATTAAGTATTAAAATGAATACTTCGTTAATATCCGACGCTCTGCATCGAAAATGTTTTTAAAGTTTAAGACAAAATATTTATCATATAGTAGTCGCAGGGTACATTAATTTCAATACATAGATTAAAGTCTGAACTTTACAATATAATCTGGATGCTTATTCTTTGTATATCTCTAAAGAATCGCAATTAATTTTCACTTTAATTTTGTAAGGCATATTTCTATGCTTATAAATTTCTTATTAGATGAGATAGGTAGATTAATCGATAGTCATTTTTCAGAGAGGTGTTTTACGGAACATTTTTATCATAGAGACGATTTTACACATCCATATTTCAGTTTACAAAAATTTATTATACAAACTCGGTCAACAGTTTTTTGTCTACTCTTTATATAACCTGTAGCATTTACTTTTTATCATCATGAAATATATCACAATTACAAAAAAGAATGTGTCACTTTACTGAGTGAACTCTCAATCTGAATGGGTAATATTGACAAAATGTTTGTTTCTTTTTTTCTGTCGACGCAAAATCATAAACAGGCATGTGCATTATATCGGGGAAAGAGAATAATGTTGAAGGCATTCTTTTCTTCCTTTCCTTTTTGCGCACATCTACATAAATAAGAGCACATCTCTATTACCTATGAGCAACACTTCCGTCATCATATTAATGGAATATGCCTGTAAAGAAATACACACATTTTCTCTTAGTTCGAAATGATAGAGAAAGCTCAAGCCAAAAGTTGCGATTAAATCGATCATGCTTTGCTAAGAGGAGAGTCATGAATATATACTCCTATCTCTATAGTTATGTGGCTAGGATCTGTTTTGCCTTCTTACTGCTACTCTTGTTAGTCTTTTTCATGTATATTTTGTAATCTATTAGTTGAGTGTAAGTGTATTTTAATCCATTCACACAGAAAGAAATTATTACAGTCCACGAAAATTGAGATTATTTCTTTTGATATTCTTTCCTTTTATTTTATATGCAAATAATACATTAAGAGGGCATGCATGAATACATAGTGTACGACATGTGCAAGTAGGTCGAGCTTATATAAATAGCTCACAGGTGTACTTGAGTTAGATTTCAATAAATGGCGTCTCTATCAAAAACGAAATATTTGTATTTGCACTTCGTGTTTGAATTACATATATTTCATTTACCTTTTTTCATATCATATACAACACTTTAACATGTCCGCACATGATACATATACACCATAATTCAAGTGACATGTATTAGTAGGATATTGACCAAATCAATGAAGGTTTGGTTTTACATCATGAGCTAGAAAAGAGAAAATGCTTGGTGATGTGAAGTGTGTTTGTGAATGGGTGAAGCAAAGACCGACACCGAAATTCAAGCTCCAACTCCTTCCTAGAGAGGATTTCTGAGCAAAAATCTCCGAGGTCTCAGAAACCAAGGAAAATCACGTATCGTCATTTCTCTGACATTCATCTCGGCAACGGATAAAAGGTATCCGAGCTCTCGAAAACCAGAAGGCAATATGGAATATGAAAACACTCGAGGGTGTGGATGTACATCAAAAGACTAGCCACATTTCCCGGTCGAACCCACACCCTTCATTCACTAACAGAATATCATATTGCATACAATCAGCTATAAGAAAAAAAAATATGAGAAACTATTAAGCTGATATGCCTTCATGCAATAAAAACTTCATTTGCGGTCATATTGGTCATCTGGAAGATGTCATCATATTTTGTATTTAAGTAATCAATGAAAATCAGTATGGGTGTGCCAGTTTTCCCCTGAACACCAATACCAGTGAGATCTCAATGACATTCACGTAGTCTAGTCCGTATTCACTTAATACTCTACCGATAAAATCGATGTTAGCATTTTAGTGTTTATACTGGAACCATATATCCCTACACATATATTATGGAAAATTTTTAAGAGAAATACTAATCGTTATCGGGTCAGGCTTCTTAATCAATTAAAAGAGTTTACCTACCATTCAAACTTACATTTACATTTAATATTCTTTTCCTTAAAAAAGTTATTGACTATTCTCTCGACTAATACTCTGAATTATTTTTCTATAACTCAAAGAATTTTTCTTCCAATTTTATTTTTCACCATTACTTCAAATTGTGCACTGCGATTAATTGCCTTTGAACCGATTGTCATTGATTCGATTGAGATCGGCAGATTTGTCTCGATACAAATCTTTTCATTTGTTTTTGATGATGAGTTTGCATAGCTTCTATATATCATCCATGACAAAGTTCTGTTATTTATCATTTCACAAATTATCTACGTCTCTTTCCAATATATACGAAAGAAACAGCTACTCTCACGTCTCTCAACCTAGCCTACGCCCACACACATGCAAGCTTATATCCACACTTATACTTCCACTGAAATCATTCAAGGATATGGTGTTTCTTTTTCTACTATTTACTATTTTCTCTGTCAGTACAAATCTCTAGCGACATTGTCCAAAGTATATCTGCCATATCCATAAATTTATTCATTTTTTTGTTTGTGACGTTTTCTACCCATGCAGGGTATTCTTAGGGTTTCAAATCAAAATCTATAAGCAAGCCTGAAGATTGAAATCCTGTCTGCTCCACAAAAAAAAACGACACCAAAAATTCAATTACTCTTCAGTTTCTACAGATGAAAGTTAGTTGCATATTGAAGTAACTGTAGCAATTGATTCAGTTGTATTTTGATAAAAAGTATGAATAATCAAAGAATTGTTTGGTTTGAAGAAGCATCATCTCGAGTGGTCACTGAAAAAACTGATCTAAGTGCACTTGATGAACCATGACGCCTAGAAAAGTGAGATTGTTGTTGTTTGATCTCATTTCTTATAGGTTCTGTGTTGGTTTTAGAATGAATCATCTTTGGAAACCAATATTGAGTGGGATTATCATTGGAGCTTTAGTTGCTGGAATTGCTTTGGCCTCAGAGCTAACACTTTATCTTCGTGAACAAACCACAAACAGTATGCATAAAAATAAGCATTTATTAATAAACATGTACACATTATATGTTTTTCTGTTGGAATGTTTTGTTTCTTAGAGTGACTTTACTTGTAAGAATCAGAGAAAAATGTCTGTTAAAAAATTGAAGAGTTTGTCAAACAAATTTTGACTGAAAATCGAAGATGGAGAAGGTGTGAGTACTATTGAAGGAAATGTCCATACTCACATTCACAGCTACACTCTGCATGCGTTCAAAGCAAAGTGTATGTAAGAGACATGACTGTTGATAACGGATGAAGGAAGAAGTTATCCTAGAATTCTGGATATTTGAAATTTTCCCAGAAGAACGGAACAATTTTCTTCTGTTCTATACAAAGAAAAACGATCATTCCTCATGGATATACCTCGAACTGGAATCTTCGAGGATCTGCTTTGATTTGAACATATGACTAAAACTAGAGTTTTTCTCCAAAGATTTATTATTGACTAATGAAACATTTTTTTACGTTAATCAGCAGCAGCATTAGGCATCTCTATAATGTATTATTTTCAAGGATCACTTAAATAGATTCTGTAAAAGAAATATGAACTGTTACATTGATGTCACTATTATTAGTTCATATTTCAATCATATAATTTTCCACACCACTTGCGACGTATATCTAAAATTTTGACATCATGAAGTAGTGCGTGTTTCTCGCGACTGAAATTTTGCTAATATAACTTCGTCAACTGAATATTTATTGCACTCTTTGTTTTTTGAACAATTATTGGTAACAGTCTGATTGGTGCATGCTGGGAACCTTCATAGTCCGAGATAACGTATAGCACTGTATGACCCGTGTAAAAATACACTTTCGATTTTTCACGTCACGTTCACTTAGGTACTAACTGCATAAAATTTGAGCATCAGCTCAATATAGTCACTCAATATGCGAGTTTTGTGTTAACTCAGGGACATAATGTGGCTTGTATATTCATTTATTTCCTTGTAAAGAATTCATAAGACGACTGATAAATGATTGAACTACTCAAACAAATATATTCGGTCGAATATTTTGTCTTGATTAGCACATATATCAATTAGAAAGAAAAAATAGTCCCATGCTCTCAGACTTTTTTTTGACGAAAAAGTATCATTCATCTGGTACGCATCAACTTATAACGAAAATATTTTTGAAAGACATGTTATAGCTAATCAAAAAAACTCATTAAGGTGAGATGTATAGCATGCAAAGAAAAGAAACTAGAGTGTTATGGAAGTCTACACTTTAAATATGTCTACATCATTGAAGCATTGTTAAGCACAAATACAACGACAAAGACGACCATGACAACGACAACAACTACGACAAGGACCACCACCACGATCACGACGACAAGCTCGACAACAACAACCACTACAACAGGTAAAAATAGCCGAGAAAAATTACTAATGAAAACATTTTCGAGATAACGAAAAGAGTGGATGTAAAACCGGAATTATTTTTCGATAATTCCACTAAATTGTTTTGTTGAATTCGAAAGAAACATATGAATTTTTGAGAAGCAAATTTTTTATCAGCCTCAAAATCTGATTCGTGTTTCTCTTGAAGAACAGAATCGTGTCTGTGGTTAAGCATTGTTCTACTTATACGTTGGATCATTCTTTTGTAATTCATTGAAGAAAAAATTCATGATGATTAGCCAGCAAATGTCTGAATAGATTTTCCATGTCTTTGGTAAAAAGTAATGTTTACTGGGTACCGATTCATTCGAACGTACGCTGACAGCATAAGCACTTATATTTTGGTCGCATACAATTACAAATATGCATACAAACAAATGTCAGGCAGATTTGATATGATGAATATTTCCTCGACCAACGATAGGGCCATATGAAATTATTTTATTGGGTTTGTTTAATTCTCTAATCTTAATGGCTCTAAAGAAATAGCGACCTAATGATACGCGTATATGTTACGGTGACATATAAGATAGCGAAAAAAAAGCAGATATTTAATTCGTGTTTGAAAAAATATAAGGACCCTTATAGACAAAAACAAATAAATTATTTCATTTTAAAATTATAATCGAGTTGGGTCGTTTATATACCGGCGGCAGAGAAGCAGAAAAATAAATTTATTTGAATTATAAATTGTAATTAAAATAGAACTGTGTTATTTACTGTTTACCGTAGTATCCTTAGCTGCTGTCTGATGTGTGAATCTTCATCCTCACACTCAAAATACTAGTGATACCATGATTGAAACTAAAGTAATACTTATTCTCTTATTTTTGTACAGTTATGGATACAACAATTATAAATTATGCATTCTGTTATACAACTATTTTACTGAGGTACACAAGAACACATCATAAGTATTACGATGATTGTGCTCACAGAGGCGCGCATGGGTCGTGGTTGTTCAAGAGTACGCGGAGACACAAAACCTCCCCACTTCACGACGCTGATATAAAAGATCCGTTACGTGGGGAAAAGCGCCTCTAGAAAAGTAAATATTCATGACCGCAATTCTAACTTAGCCAACAAATAGGAAAAAAAACATTAGTTGCTACAATAAAATCATTGTCAGTACTAAAATTGCCAGTGAGAGAATTTTTTTTGTATGTCTGCCGTTGTTATAGAACATCTGAAGCTGAATTATAATTTACAATTCGAATAAGTTTTGTTATTTTTGCTGCAGGCAACTGTCGGTTCAATGTTTGTTTTAATTTATTCTCGAATTCATCTTATGCAGTTGAACCTTTATCTATATTCAAACTCCTAATAGGCAACTCATGTAAAAAAAATTAAAAAAGAGGACAAAAAAAGAAAGAAAGAGAAAGAGAAATAAAAGAGAGGAAAGAACATATAAATTGGCATCTTTAAAGAAAGACAAACAAATGTAAACATAATGAAGAGAATGACATATGATAGGAAAAAATAATTTGACAAAAAGACGATATCAAGAGAAAAACGAGAAACGGGTGATTGCAGTAGAATGTCTCTAGGAATTCAGCATAGTATCTGATATTTTCCACATTGACAATTGCTACTCAGTTAGATAAACTGTGATTTGATCATCAAATTAAGATACAGCCAAAAACATCTATATAAAAGACCAATCGTTTAGAACCATAGAGAGAATGAATCGATCTAGTTCCTTCTTATCGTACCAAATAATTCATATTTTAGCACGATTATGCGAGTATCAGGTAATCACTCAAGGATTTAACCACTTCTTTAAGATATTTGGTTCAATATCCATAGCATAGATCATCAAGTAGACGCTCATCGTAAGTGAATGCGAATAATAAAAGTACTAAAATTTGTTCATACCAAATCTGTGAACAGGGTCACGAGCACAGAAATCCATGTGAAAAAAGATAATACGAATATTGAGAATAAAATTTAACAAAGTCTAGTAGAAGTTGATCTTCCAGGTCTATTAGGATTAACCATAGCAATTTGTTGACGAATTTTGATTTGAGTACCATGAATGACCTTTCTCCAACCAAACTTTATCGTTATCTAGTAGCTCAAATACTTATGGGTGAATCCGCGGGGTTTCTACCACAATTTGGAAAAAAAATTTTTTTTGATTTTCATATTCTAGTTAGACGTAACATCATCGAAAACGATTAGAGGTAATAGTAAAAACTTTTTTGGTACATAAAGTTTGGAGATCCAGATCATCTTTTAGGAACAACTCAATGTATTTGTAATTGGATATGTTGAGGGCTTCAACTACGTTGCAAAATGATGAAATTTTCAACGTTTGTAGAGCTTTTAATTCTAAGCATTTTGATAAAAAAAATTTCTGAAAAGCTTTTATTTTGTACGAAATAGATTCAAAATACTATAAACACTGAAGGAAACTAAACAACAATTTATCAAAAATTTCGCAAAAAATCTTTTTTTTTGAAAGTTTTTGGTTTTTCATTGCTCAGAGTGTTCTGACGAGGGAACCACCCGAGGTGTTAAAAAGCTTTTGAGCTGAAATTTTGCCGACAAGTAGGGGATGCATAGACTAGAAAAAGCCTAAAAGGACATGGGCCCAAATTGGGATTTGACTGAGATATCGACTATTTACCATAATCTTCCTATAGGACCCTACCTGTCCGATAAAATCAAAGTTTTGAATTTAGGCCTGAAACTTTGTCCACACCAAGGCCTCAATCAGACAAGTTTGCCTACAAGGTTTCAGAACTCTGGGATAGACTATCTCCGAGATATGAATCTGCCAAAATATCTATGTGAAACATGATATCCATAAAAAAGCATCTTTATGCTAACATACTAGTATCTCGGAGATAGCCTATCCCAGAGTTCTGAAACTTTGTAGGCAAGCTTGTCTGATTGGGGCCTTGGTGTGAACAAAGTTTCAGGCCTAAATTCAAAACTTTGATTTTATCGGACAAGTAGGGTCCTATAGGAAAATTATGGTAAATAGTCGATATCTCAGTCAAATCCCAACTTGGGCCCATATCCTTTTAGGCTTTTTCTAGTCTATGCATCCCCTACTTGTCGGCAAAATTTCGGCTCAAAAGCTTTTTGACACGTCGTGTGGTTCCCTCGTGAGTTTATTTCCGACAAAATAACAGCTGTTTGAAAATTTTTTTTGTCAAAATGCTTCGAATTATAAGTTCTACAAACGTTGAAAATTTCATCGTTCGGCAACGTAGTTGAGGCCCTCAACATATCCAATTACAAATACATTGAGTTGTTCCTAAAAAATAATCTGGATCTCCAAACTTTATATACCAAAAAAAAGTTTTTACTATCACCTCTAACCGTTTTCAATGATGTTCCGTCTAACTAGAATATCAAAATCGAGAAAAAAAACTTTTTCCACCGAAGTGGTAGAAACCCCACGGTTTCACTCTTATATGATTTCACCGATTCGATGGAATAATCACGATACTGGAAGTCAGACATAGAATTTGAGCATCTGAAAGCTGGTGTAGCCTACACCACTTGCGTTCTAAACAATTAATCGCCTGAACAGCTGGAATCGATTAATATTGTAAGTGGCCAAAAAGCAGATGCAGTCACCATTCAAGACTAACGCATTATTCAGTACATCTAATTCCTATTTGATTGGTGATAGCAGGTGTTAGATCACCAACAAAGGAAAAAAGACATACCCATTGAAGGAAGGTCTTCTATATTAGCATGATACGTGAAGAAGAGCGCTGAAGTAAAACTACACCTTTGCGGTCTAACTCGACGATATGGCAACGAACGGGATTGTTTGCCCTGAATTTCGATTGTGACGAGTCATGCCATATAAAAGACCGTCTCTTGGTATGATTGTTCACAGACCTACGGTCATGGGTGCTTAGAATTTCTTACAGATTCATATGCAAAACGTCTTAAAGAAAATTTCTCCACATTGAGATTTGAAGCGATCAAGTTTCTTTGGGCTAGAAATTCAGCTAATCAAACTTCAAGTTGTGAATTCAGCGAATCGGATCACTTTAGACTGAAATTGAATCCACAATGCTTCTACACACTGGAAAGTTTCCCAAGTGAATTGGTTGAGATTAAGTTCAGACCCAGTGAGATATTTTTTATGCTATGAATTCGACTTATCAGATGGTTTGGCTATCAAGGGCATACAAAATCGCACATACTCATAACACAAACTCAACTACTATGTATCTTCTTGATATCTAAGCATTGATTGAAAATATTTCGTTTCTTTCCTGTTGATTAGTCAAAATCATCTTGATACAAGTGAAATTAGTTAATATTATTAATGGTATTTTCATTCATTCTTAACATCTTCCAAATAGAACATATACAGTGTGATGAACTTTATATGTAGTGTTCCGTGACCTGTGTGTATTACATAACAGCTATATCATACTATTCATATCTAATAGTATATGTACTCTATTCATTGAGCACTTTATATAGTGTTGAGATTGATTTTGTAGAACTGTTGAGAAACATAAAAGATAGAGTTACAATAATCATCAACATTAATCAGTCACCATTGAACATGTAAAGAAGAATTTTACCTTGTAAAAGTTGAAAAGCTATTTCAATCTATTGTTCGCGACAATAGGACAATGCGCTATAAAATATTCATATCCAACCTTACTTTTAGTTATGCTTCAGTTTGATTCGAAAGATGCTCGATGATAAATATAGTAGTATTCATTGAAGTTAGAGATTCAAGATAATATTTCATTCTATGCCATGTCCTCATACTTATTATGATACGAAAATGCTTTATGAATGATGTTTATCCATAGTATGATCACCGCAATACATCTCAAAATACGATTGAATATTGTTGAATTTTGATGAACACAAGAGGATGAAATGATCAATAACCTGCATTAGCTCCTATTCATTTCGATTGTTTACTTACAGAAAAGAAATTGAACTTTGGTAGATAGGAACTATTGAATTCACCTATGTATCTAATGATTGTTTCAAAACAATTTCATAGCACAAAGATTTTGTGGCTCAATCGAGAGTTAAGTGAGTCGGAGCAATAAGCGTTACTTTCATCATAGACCATTATAACAATTATTTTCAAAAGCTGACATATTATATAAATATAAGCATCCATAAGTTTATATTCTCTCTTGTCGTACAGAATTTAATGTTTTCAATTTTTAAAGCAATGGGAAAAACTAATTAAATTAGACAAAAATGGAGACATTGTATAATTATATTAGTACTATTTGTAATTCAATAAATATATACGTATATATATATATCGCATTATTCATCAAGTTCAAATAGTCTTTAACACAATATATTTTCTAATTGAGTCATCAATCTTTAACTGTTAAAAAATCAAACACTATTGCATAAGAACATTGCAATCAATCTAAGAATAATTTATAATTTATAATTTATCAATTACTGTAAGCTATTCTGCACGTTCAAATTGTTCCTTTTATCTATTCCACAGAGTTTGTTAAATTATTATTCTTAAATGATTACTTGTAGCATGTAAAGAATAGACTCAAGTAAATTCTTGTTTCTACAAATGATCCTTTTAGTCTACGAAGAAAAACTGGTTACTGTACACTTTTAAAGGGATATTATAAAAAATTATACTAATCTGTTAAAGCTTTATATTGGTAGAGAAGTTCTATTGGAACAGTACCATCTAAAACCAAATTTCGATATGAAAAGTCGATCTTGAGTTTTTTCATCGCACGGGACTACAATGCGAAAAAACTTTTTAAAAGGTTGCTCATTAAGTGAATGTTCAGAAAACAAGAATTTTACTATGCTCTTTTTCTGTAATTCCACTTCCACCATCGATTATTTGTGTAAGTACCACCACTGCGAAACTCAATAGCAATCAATTTATCTATTCCCCGACTTCGCAAATCTATGCGGCTGGCATGTTATACAATCAATTTGGTATCGATAAAGCTTATAGTTATGGAAATGTCATTTCGATAGCAGTTTGGACAGCAGGTCAGAGCTCAACGTCTCAAACATGCTATCTGGCAATACAAACAGACCGTAAACTAGTTGTTTATACATTGACTAGTACTGTATTGTGGGCAGCTGGTACCTACAATTATGGTAGTGGAAATCCATTCTGTTTCCAAATACTAGTTTCGGGAAATCTGATATGGACTGATAATTCTGGGACGATTATTTGACAGACAAATACTGCACAAAGCGGATAGCTTCTTCCTATCCTCTCTTTACGGAAATGAACCTAACGAACTCAAAGTGAATCTTCGCTGATAGCCTATCGATAACTTACAGGAAAAATAAGATAATCATGTACCTCATTCGACTTATAAAATTCTGAAGAAGGCTTACGTCAAAACTCACATCCTAAATTATGAAAATTCAAAAAAAAAGGAAATAAATACTATGTAAGGTTCTACAAGACATTAAAAAAGAGCACTCATCAATAAAAAAAAGAAAAAGAAAAAAAAACCAAATGTCTGCTCAAAATATAGAAATAATAAGGATAGCGTTTACTGATAATTGATTATTGTTGGAAAAAAGTATGATCTTTTACAGATTTTTCCCTTTGCATATTTTCTATAGCATAATGAAACTAAATAAGACGTGTCAGTTCCACATTTCCACCCCAAAGAGGTTGCACTAACAAGCTTTTCGTTAGAATTTTCAGGAGTATCTAATGTTATAAAACTTATTTATATACAAAATTTCAAGCCAGAACTCTTCATTTTGACTTTTTTTTGGAAATGCATGGTTCTAATAATAAAATTTCAGTAAACCAGCTATGAATCTTCTCCAGTAGATCATTAAAACGAACCATTTAAGGCTTTTTCTTAACTCAATATGACCTATCAAACCAGATATGAATGAATTGAAACGGGGCAAGATATATTGGCTATATTTCCTTGTAAGATCGTTCATTCGAGTGAGATGTATGTAAAAGATGAGGAGATAAAATTATTTGATCTCACATCAATTTTTTACTTGGATATAAATATTCAGAATAAAATGCTTTTTATCTGTGTTTAGAGTTACATTAGAAATTATCAAGTTGGTTTCATTCTATCAGTATTATATGTCTTCTTGTCTTAGAACATTTACAACAATAGTTTATACCAAGAGACTATAGTGTTCGATGTAATTCGTTAATTAGAGGCATTCAATATACTTACTACAAACCGTGCTTGTCAACATTGAAGGAAGAAATAATTGTTTCCTCTCTCCCAATAATTGACAATTATCCGTTATCATCGAAAAAATGACCAACAATTTTCGAATTGTTTATCTTATGAGACGTTTTCTTAAATATTACCCTAAGACTCTTTCGTCGCTACAATATTGTAGTTCTTGTTCGACCACTGATCATAAGACTAATTAAAATAATATATTTACAGTTGCTAGATATAGAACTTGTTTCGTTGTTTCATGAGAATCTTATCACAAAACACATTATATCACAAAATAGTGATGTGAAAATGTCAAACTTTAATTAAAAATCAAGAAAATAAATTTTATTAAACAAAATCAAATAGAAAAAAAATGTCCACTCCATTATTGATTTCTTCCATTGTCACTCTTTTTAATAAACTAAAAAAATACAATTATTTATGTTCAACGAAAACTTCCAAAACTAAAACCATTAAAAGCAAAAGAAAATTTTCTTAAAGAGCTCTAATTTCTTTATTGAAATATATTATTGATAAATAGAACAGAATCGTCAAATTATTTTGACATTCAAAAAAACTAAAAATGAACGTTATTGAAGACATCAAGCATCTTTTCTCTACTAAACACTCTTCTCTCATTTCATTTGATACAATTTATTGACAGTTTTTTGACACAGTATTATATCAAGTGATTAAGCAGATGTTGATAGAAAAATAAAATTATTTCAGTTTTGCGCTGACACGTTGAATGTCTTTTTCAATTTCAGTTACATTAGTTTGTTGAAGCGGCAACGACTGACGATAGATAATGGCTGCTCTTTGATAGTATTCTAGCGCTTCTTTCCAGTTACGCATTGTCTCATATAACAGTCCTATGCTTTTATTACTCGAAGCGATATCTGGATGTTGGGGAGGTAGTGATTTCATTCTAATATCGAGCGATGTTCTGTAATGGTTCATAGCAAACTGATGTTGACCAGTAACTCGATAAATATCACCTATGCCACTATGATTTAAAGCCGCATCCGGATGAGTAGAACGTGAATTCTGTTGTAGAATATCCAATGAGCGTTGATAATTGTTCAATGCCTCTGGATATTGCTTTTGAGCATAATGAACACGAGCAATACCATGATACAAAGAAGCCGTATCTCGATGATTTGTAATATTCCCTCGCTTGTAGCAGTCCATTGCTGCACTGTAACATTTCATTGCTTGATTAAAATCATTCTTTTCCATATGAATATTCCCAATACAACAGTGTAGACCACCAATATAGACAAAATCAGATGAATCTATTCGAATTCTCCTGTCCAATGCTCGTTGAAACCATTGTAGGCTGCGATCAAAATCCTTTCTGTCTTTGTAAAGTCTACCAAATGACACACATAAGCGAGAAAATGAAGCATCGTCGGAAGAACACTGATCGTGCAGGCCGGAATATATTTTCTCTGCCAAATCATATTTTCCCATATATTGCAGTACATTACCGAACGTTTGAAGATCCGTTTCGTTCTCGCCAACTCCATAATCTGATTTCAATTGATCGAAAAGCTTCTTCAAATCATCGTCATTATTTTCCGCTAACTGCATTTTAATTATCCAAATTTTTTCACTATCATCTCGATAAACATTGATCAAACGAAATATACATCCAACCATAAATAATATTTCACTCTCATGACGGAAATAACTGAGTGAAGTGATATCAGCAAATGGCTTTGATTTAACCACATGAGGATCAGCTTCAATCTCAAATAATATTCGATGTAAATCATTTGAAACGGTCGAACGATTCGAGAATCTCAATGCTACATCACGATCAGCACTAGTCGAAAAAAATGAATTAATTGAGATGAATTGACCGATCGATTTATGAAGAGCATTCAATTCATCACGAGACATAGCTTGATAACGGTACACAGTCACAAGGTTTTCACATTGATATTTTTTTAGTCGTTGATAAATGTCACGAATTACAAAACGAAATAATAGTAATAATTCAGTGTTCTGTATTCGTAAAGCTTTGTTTAACATACTGTATACAAATGCATCACGAGTATACCACCATAAAGCTTTTCTAGATTTATAGTCACGTTCGAATTCACCAACAACGGCCAGTTGAGGTTCGTTGTCATAATATTCATCTTTGCAAAATTGAATAAGTTTTTTCTTGTCAGCGTCACTAGATTTCATTTTAATAAGAACATCAATCAATAATAGAGAATGAATAAAATGACCATTGAGTTCAGTTGTTGATTTATCTACATTACCACTAGCATTGTAAATATTCAGAGACATTGGTTCTTCTACTTTTCCTCGATCTTTTTGATCCATTGTGATTTGTTGAACGAGATCATCAAGTGAAACAATGACACCTTTTATCTTCGAGCAAACAAATGAAGATGATTAAGAAATCGAAAAAACGACAAAGAGCTTCTTACTTTACTAAACTGTTTAGCCCAATGTTTATATGCTTTTTTGTCCCAACAGTAGATATAAACATCAGATAGTTGCCGAAGATCATGAATCTGAGGAATTAATTCCTTGCCTAATCGTCCACTACTGATAAGAACGATTCGATCTTGTTCAGAGCAAGACTTAATATATTGTTGACATTCATTTTGATCCTGAAATATTTTGAGATAATTGATGATTGAACGAAGTCGCTTTTGAGCACGCCTATTTTCTTCTTTTGTATTGACTTCTGCATCAAGCCAAAGAAGAGAAAATGTTTCCAAATTATCACCGTGTTTTCTAGTGACTGTATTATTTGCAGCAGCCATGTGTGTATGAATAGTAATATTCGAATCAAATATTTTGATATAAATATTTTGTCCTTCTCGGTTTTTTATTCAGTGCAGTATGACGTGTCAGCCTACATGTATATTACACTTCCTTTCTGCTTGGTTTTTTCATCATTTTTGTATCGTATAGGTAATCATTACTTTTTCTTAATCAAAAGTTATTGATGTATGAAATATACAGACAAACACATGCACATGTTTTCAACGACCAATAAAATCATAATTTTTGAATGCTTACTTGTTATTTATCTATACATTTTGACTATATGACTAATTGAATGAGAAAATGCAATTTATTTACATAAATATTCCCACCTTGTAATTATGTACATGTATTCAAATTGTACAAAAATATTTTTGTTATTCTTTGGTATTTCATCAAATCAAGTAATACGTCTCTAATTTTTATTGATTTTTTAAAGTAAATCTTTACTAAAAATAAAATGTTTCTTTTATCTTTGGAAATAAATTAATCTGTTTTTATTTAAAAGCCGACTGATGAATGTTTCTATGTTATGTCAAAATGCTAAAAACAAGAGTTTTTGATTATTGAGAACTCGAATTAATACTAGAGTAGATCGAATACATGCTTCATAACATTGAAAGAATGGTCAAAAAATAATTGTCAAGATAGATAGACGAAAACGGAAGCTATTATTCGGTCAACAATCTCAAAAATAGTTTTAATTTTATGTACACCAAAGAATATAATAAGAGACTATGGCTATGACTCTCACTTTATCTTATAATCAAACAATGATTAAGAAATGTAGACTAAAGAATAGACTTTAATTAAATGTATTCTTCTGATAACAAGAAACTTTCTTCAGCAATGAATAAATCCGACGTAATAAATAAAACAATCCAATATTATTTGTGTTTAGAATAATGAGAATTCAATAATGGCTTATATGTTTAGGTATACTATGAATACAAGTGTACACGAGAAAAGCTCACAAGATATAGATCCTTTCATTTAGAAAATATTAGCCATGCTTAAACTTGAAAATTACTAAAATAAAAAAACTATTTTTTTTTTTATTATATACATCAGTCCATTGATCATATTTGACAAAATTCATTCAATATTTATGCTTCTAAAAATTTAATTATTGAATATCAAAATGAAAAATAATAACTTTCAAAAATCATTTATTACTGAGTTCGAATAAAATTGAAAAAATCTTACTAGCACAACGCTGTGTGTGGAACTAAAATACGAAATTCACTACCTATATTTTATAAAATCACTTGTAAACTATTATTGCAAGTAACAGCTTCAATAAATTACTTTGATTTGTAAGAGTTGTTTGTAATTGCTAGTTGGAAAAAAATGAAATGTCTGAATCAGTGTAGCTTTCAAATTGAGAACAAAAATTAATTCAATGAATACAAAAATGTTCGCGGTTACGGAAGCAGAAAGTTACATTGACTTGATTTTTATGGTACACTTCAATTGTAAACATTTTTTTTTAACTAACAAGTAATCAACAGATTTAACTACAATAAAATATTTATTGATATCTTAACGAGAAGGATCATTTCTAAATTCTTGCTTTCAAATATAAATTGGAGAATATTATCTCTTCGCCTATTCATATTCTATTCTTATTTTAATCCAGATAATCGAATTTAAACATTTTCTGATAATATAAGATCATGATCTAGAATTTGTATCAGTTAATTGATAACTACATTATTTTTAGAATAATGGCACGAGAACAAGATTTGAAAGACTAGATATAAACGACTGAATCGTTCTAATCTTCACGTGTTAATCTATACAAGTAATTGCTATATAAAATGGCCTTTTCGACTGTTTCACTCATTGACTAAATGATTTTTGTGTTCATAGTTTAAAATATAATATGATTTTTATTCTTACTCTTCTATCTTTATATCGTCAATAAACAGTATTTATAATAAAATATTACAAGAAATAATGAATCGAAGCGTTTACAATATGAACATAGGCTCGAATCAGAGCAAAGAGACCTTAGTTGTCAAAATGTTTTAATACATAGATAGTTTTATTTTGTTTCGTATATCTCAATGATCAAACGAGCTAGAATGATCTGGTTTTGTTCAGATTACAGTTCAAATTCTCTCGAATACTGAAAGCAAATTTCATACCAATCATGTAGATTCTGTGGTTTATAAATGAGCTTGATGCATTTGTATAACACTTGATGCGATGTAGAAATGAGCTAAGACCATAGGAAAGCCAGAGAGAGAGAGAGAGCAAAGTTATCTAGCGGACTAGCGAACAACTGCACAAGAAATCAAACTCACTACCGACATTCACATAAGCATGTTGAACAAAATCAAGTATGATGTAAACAAATATAGTTGAAAAAAATCTAGCATACGATACACGCATATTTCCAACATTCGCGTACGTCTTAGCAGTCTTTATCTGAACATTTTCTCTTTAAGATTATCATGTGCCATATTATCCCATCAATGAAAAAACAAAAGAATGAGAATTGAGCATTAACGTTTACAACGTCATATTTCGAATACTGAAAAATGATACAAATAACTAATTCGATCTAGTCGATTTTAGAAGGAAAGTACGATTGAAATCAGTTGACATAAATAATTATCTGTATCATCTCAACTTTTGATTAAGACAAGCATCATCGGAATGAAATGAGTGTCAATATTGAATCATTGCGGTAGTATTTAGAAAAATCACACTAGAATCACTTCTTGAATTTTTATCCAAAAGGCTGCTGAAAACATTTAGATTACATTTAGTACATGTGAGTCATGAAATTGATGGCTATAGACATATTACGACGAACTTTAACTTATGGCATACGAGATATACGTTCAGTTTTGGAAGAAAGCAAGATGATTCTCATGGATCACATACTTTCTCAAACTGACTGCAAATCTCAATGAAAACTATGTTATCTTGCTAGTAATAACTCCATGTCTTTCTATCACGTCTATTTTTTTACGATAAGATTCCGTCTACAAATGGGCTTTTTTTCACAGATATGCTTGTCATACTGTTTTTCAAGATGTCGCATACTTAGCGACTGGTCGATTCTCTGCGTTCGTTCCATTATCTTGACCACAATATTCGCTGTAAGGTTTGTATCTGTGATGTTGTTCTCCATTCAAGCCAGAATTCTAGTGATGCTGATATGCATGTGGGTGTGGTTGTCAATGTGAATATGTGAGTTTGAGTGTGAATGTAAGTGTAGATGAGTTGGGTGAGATAAGATACCAGATTCACAAACCCACATTCATAGACTACACATCCACACTCAGTTTATATTCAAGAAAAGACTTAGATAGGATTAGTGACATATTTCTTCACTGAAGATAGAGGCTGCTATGAGTAAATAACAAAACTTCCATCAGTTTCTATTGAACTTGTAGATGGAAAGATTGAAGTTGCAAAGCATCATTGACATTGCCCGTTACTTTCGTTTAGCTATATTTCATTCTTCCTATCTGTAAAATTAGTATATCGTTGAAAGTATGACTGATTTCAAAATGCACAAAAGTTTGGATATTGGGTAGTCAATGTTAGCAATGAAGAATATGTGCTAAAAAGTGACAATACGGTTTTCAAAATCGTATGAGAGTTCAAAATGTGTCCAACCCAATCTTGAGTTGAATGTATTTGAAAAGGAAGAGAACAACAATAGACATCAGCAAGAACAACGATGAAACCAACAATATGTAAATATGAAATGATTTCGAGTTTTGTGGATTTTTATTACTTGACTATGGTTGAATTCGATTGTAACAGCAATAACAAAGCACTTTGACAACAAATGATACAACAATTTTCACTATGGTTGTTAGCCCTCTGTTAAATCAAATAGTAGTGCTAATCATAACAATCCATACGTTTTTGTCTACATATGAGTGAATACGTATGTTCGATCATCATATGCCATGTGTCATAGTATATTAGCTCGTTAAGTTTCATGAATCTGTCTGTGAGAGAAATTTCGTTAAATTATCATATTGAAGATACTCATAGTGCAGTTCTTCTATGTTCAGGGTGGGATGTGGGTGTAGATGTAAATAGATTTGGTGCTTGTGCAACCAATTACATGCTTTTGATGTATGAGTCCGAGTGAGATGGTCGTGGATAAGAGTGTGGGTGAGTGTAGGCGATGATATGATCAGCAGATGCATCTACATCAGCACTCACATCGCACACACCTACACACAGACTCGACGTCGTTTTATCAAATACGTCACTTAGTTTTCTTTTACTATTAAATTTAATTTTATCGATTTTTTTCGGAAGTGATAAAATGGCTGTGCTGTTCACTCATACATTACTGACGATAATACATTTAACAACATTTTTGCATAAACTAAAACAACAAAAAACGTTTGATCACTTTTTTTGTACTGTTATTTTATACTCGGATGATGATTTTTAAAAATAAAAATAAATATTTGGTCTTTTTTATTGATAACTAAATAATTTATTCGATTTATTTTTTCAAATATTTTTTAATTTCTTCAAACGATTGATTTAATTTTGCTAACTCTTCTTGTATTTGTTGTTTACTTTCTTCAAATGATTGATTTAATTTTGCTAAATCATTTCGTATTTGTTCTACATTATTAATTGAATTATTTGAATCATCTTTATTATCATTTATATTTTCTCTTTTTTCAATTTTATTAAGATCTGATCCTTTAGTTGATCTAAATTAAGCAAAAACTTCATTAAAATCTTATCTTTTATTTTTCTCTTCAACTTACATCATTGATGTAGATTTTGATGTCTTTGCTTCTGTATGAGCATATTCATATGTTGATGCACCTTCAAATTCATACCAATCTTTAATAAAACTTTTATTTATAGGAATTATTTCTAGAATTAATATTTAAATCTTAAAGAATAAAATTAATTAGCGTTAACTTACTAAATACTTTCGCTCGACGATCTGCTGATTTTTTAATAACTCGTCTGATAGCAAAGATCGTTATACGACATAAATGGTATATATCATAAATAAGACTTATTGGTGGAAAAAATGGTGAGCGTGTAAAATATTCACGTGTAAATAAATATTGTTGAGAATGCCAAATACTTTGTGTATCATTATGTACTTGATCAAATCGTTTACTTTAAAATATTATTTGATTCTAATAGTTCTCTATTATATCTAGTGCTTACCTAAACATTGCAATAAGCAGATTAATAAGTAGAATATTGACAAGAAGCATATGAGCAGCAAGTAATACATGTGTTGAAATTGACCAACCAGCATCAGGGTAGGCTATTTAAAAAACGATTTTATAATGACATTTATTCTTTACCCAGGTCAATCTTTACGGAGTTTGCATACGCTCATAACATACGTTCCGCATTTTTCCGTGTACTAGCATATTGTGATGGTTCACATGACTCAGTATTACGATCGTTTATTGTCGTGATTGTATACAAACAAATACGGAGCAAACTGAAGGCTATATACGGAGATCATAAATAACTGTCTTTTTTTTCTCCGTATGTGGTCGTATTTTTCCTTGTGCGACACGAAAATATGCGATCGTAATACTGAGACATGTAAATCGCCATATTTTTTCGTATACAATCATTTACAACGGTGTGTGCTTGAATTGTGTTGAGGTGTCATTTTCACATTCTCGTTCCTAGGAACTCGAAATGCATAACAGTCTCACATAGAAAGGGTAGACTTAAACTAATTTTTATGTTACAGATATATATCAAGGCATTCTACGTATCCTAACCAACTCAGTTCTACAGACCTTGGTGTCATAGAGCTATTATTAGAAAAGTAGCGCTGACGATGTGACACAAACAATGGCAAAAGTTTTCAGCTCGTACATTTTCTATTTACAAATCCTACAAGTGCAAACGGTATTTTAGAAAAGCAAATAGTGTTTTTTTATAGAGAACTCTTCAGGCTACAGAATTTCTGCGTTACTTTCTTCTTGAAGATGCTTAGATTTTCCAAAAAATTAAGTTTATTTGTTGTTGATGACACGAATGAGTAGAAATATAGTAGCAAAAAATTTTCTTGTAACTGAGTTAAGAGTTCAAAAGTCAATTCTAAATAGCGTAAACCCTCCTTGGAGATCGCGAAATTATAGTAAAACAAAAAAGTCCCGTTCTGAAGCAAGAATACAATTCTAAAAAATCGAATTTTGACAAACGAGCTTCTAAAGTCTGATCTTGCTGAAAATCTTCATCATAGATATATTTTATGGAATGAGAGTTATTTTGAGGTCCTTGAACTTTGTCATCATGAAGTTAGAGTCATCTGCTAATTATCTTTTAATTAATTAACTCATTAGGTAAATATTTTTAATTGGGTGTAAATTGAAAGAATCAATATTGTTTCATACATTAATGGGGAAAAGCTCATGCTTTTACAAAGTTCAAGTGATAGTCATATTCCGTTTTTATTGATTTTGCCCATATAAATGAAGATTACTAGAAAATACAGTGTGAAATGCGTTCTCATTTCTGAAAAATAGAACGTTCAAGAGCGAGAGCTATTTCAACAGCGATTTATCAATTGACTACGCTCTCTCATTGATGTATTTATCTGATTTTTTTCTTTCACAAATAATAAGAAAGTTTCATACGATCTGCTTCTCTCAAGTTTTTTCGTCATGGCTAGTTGTTCAAGATATAAGAATCCTATAAGTATAATTTAACTAAGAATTTCTTTAGCATACTACTAAAACAAATACTAGAGGATTGTCTTGATCGTTTGAAGTCCTGAACAGTAGCTGTTCTGATTTCTTCGAAAAGAAAACGAGAATATAAGTAGGTTTCTTCTTGATATTTAAGGTCATTGTAAGGAAAATTTTAAGAAGACTATTTTCACAATACATTGATCTGCTCAACAATAGACAAATATTATTATCCCTTATAGCTAAAAATTTTTCATTATATTGATTTGTATTCAAAAACTCAAGTGAAAGAGTTTGTTTAGTTAAGTTGATCAAAATTCTTCATACTGCTAAACTCATTGTCATATAAAAATAAAAAAGACTTTTTTGTTGCAGACAAATAAAAAGCCCGATATATCTATATTATTTACTTACCATCCAGATTAGATAATTCATTACCAAATTGCCCATACATTAAATAATAAACAGGATATACTATTTGACGAAAAATACTTCGACCATCAAACGCAGTGCTGAAATTAGTTTGATTAAATTTATCAGAATTTGGATAATAAACCATGGAACGAGAAGCAACACCATAGCCAGCCATAACAATAAAAATAATGCACATAAAGAATGCAAGATCTTTAAGCTACGCAAAAAAAAACAAAGACTTGTTTTTATTCAATTAAGAATATAAATACCATTTTTCCAATGGCTACAAGATGTGGTCCAAGATATTGTACAACTATAATAAATGATAGAGAACGAAGGTACCAAATTTCCAAATCGATAGCCATCACCACCCTATATAGTTAAAAGTAAATATGTTAATGAATATGAGAAATTTTGAAGGAAATTCAATATTTGAGAATGAAAAGTATACTATCTTTATCCATAATAAAATGTCATCAATAATAAGATTAATTGTATGCAATGAACTTTTAATAATCTATTAACTTCAATATTATCCAATTACGAATAAATAGATAATATTGGATAAATAATCTATCTTTAATTTAAAGGCATTATTATTTTTGTAAAATAAATTTTTATTGTATAGTTCAGTATCGATTAATAATGCAACGATCACGGTGTATGTGATACCGTAGACCGGTGGTTCACCGTGCCATCCCTAGTATCAGTTTTTAGAGATTTTTAATAAGACACTGTAATTTTTTTAAATATATTTTGTTCTAATTAGCAGAATAACTATAGACTTTAGTTGATGTGATTTATATTAATAAAATTTTATTTGTAAAAGTACATCTTACCTAGCTGCAGTAAATTCATCATCTGTACTTGCATGTGTAAATCTTAAGATTAGTCCGATATAGAACAGACCCACTCCAACAATAGTCATAATTTTAAATCGATTACGAAAATAACTAATACATTTTCCTGCTAAACTCAAGTTATCTAGGCAAGCAAACTAAAATAATAATAAAACAAGTTCTTTGTTTATAAAATTTAATTATATATTAATATTTACATAATGAATTTCTTCAATTAACATACACGAAACCAAAATAATAGTTAAAATTTCAGTCCAATGTATTGATGGGTTTTCATTCGTTGGTCGTTGAAAATCAAATAAAAGCGTATAAGAAAAAAGTAAAAGAAAAAAACAATAAAATACCTAAAATAAATTTAATTGATATTATTCAATAAAAAAAATCAATTCCTTCTAAATGTTAGTTTAATACATACACAATGATACAAATACTTTATTACTAAAGCTTGATGAAAATTTTTCAGTTTATGCATATATTGATTAATACATAAGATTTTCATACGAGGATATTCAAGTGAATATGGATCAGAATAATCTATACCATAGGATTGTAAACTAAACGTAAAAATAATATTGCTCAAAACTTATGTTCAGATTTTTTTTTTTCTTTCAAATTACGTACGATCGACTACAAGGTTCGTCTTTCGGTTCCTAATCAAAAGAAATATATTCTTAATTGATTGAAAATTTTTCATTCGAGAAATTTCCTTCGAGATTTTGATATATAATTGTAATACTTACTCGCCTTTTCAATCGTCCAAATCGATCATTAAAACAGTTCTTATTGAGTCAAACAACCAAAAAAATTCTATAATTTTCGTGAATTTTATATCAAAAACGTGAAAAAAAAGCGAGATTACTGATAATGAAATGGACAATAAATTAATAATTTTCAAATTAATTGATGAAAAGCGATCTTGTGAATTACAGGATGTGAATGGGCGATCCGTTTAAAAAAACTATGCATTCGGATTCGATTCGATCTGGTTTGGGGATCTGGTTTGGATCGATCTAAGTGATTCAGCTCAAAGCTCTTGATCGATTTTGATCCTAGGTTGACTCCTATTTTTGTTACCAGGAGCTTTTTAAGTGAATTGGGCATAAGGCTCATTGCATTATAAGCATTTCAGAAAAGGCAAACGCAAAAACTTGAAGGCATTGAGAACGAAACTTTGTCTCTAACATTAATTTTATCATCTAGAAAAACTTCGTGAACTAGCTGAATTTTATAGGTCTGTAAATATTTTTAGACTCATCTAGTATTTCTTGACGAGTTACAACTCTAGAATGAGGAACCGATGCAAGTGAATAACATCTGTCTCCAAACGATCTAATTGTCAAAATACTCTGAAATATAAAATATTAAAGGACATCGAGACTAATATTTTAAGATTTATTGAGTTTCTAAAAACTCATAGGCTTAACTTTAGCTATATAACATGCAATAGGTATCAGTCTAATCTCAAGAGAATCCTAGTTCAGAAAGATGAACCTAGTTTCCTCAGCTTTATCGTCCATCTCAGTTGGATGTCAAGTTAGCAGCGATATAGATAAATGAAATTAGCACAAGAAATCGAAAGATAATTTACATTATTTGCTGTATCGACCCTTAAAAAACGTTTTCTCACACTCAAATCGAAAGCTAATAGATGATAAAGCTAACTTTAATAATGCTATTATTAAGTTATTAAACTAAATTAAGGGATCTAGGATAGTTGCTCAACAAGACAACTGCTAGCGGCTGTGGCATGTAGCTGTGAAGTGTTGATGAAGGTTGACGATGTAGAATGTGCGTGTGGATGAAGAGCAGCCCTACACTCACACTCTCACTTGGATCTATACCCACATTCATACCAAAATCCTCACCCTCTGACTCTACAACCCACATCGAAAGTCTCATCTTTAGAATTCGACAAACTACACCTAAGACCTTCAATCATATCGGCGAGCAAATGTCTTAACAAGGAAGTGTCTTGTCGAACAATAGTCTTAACGAGCAATTGCTAGATCGAGTAATTGTTCGACATCTTCTTTGTATAAATTTATTAATACGTATGATTGTCTTCTTTGTAAAAATCCATTTGAATAAACTTAAACAACAATAAATACTAACCTTTGGGCATGTCCGATAAGTGACTGTAAATGGAGCCAAAAGACCAGACGAAAAGAAGCCCATACCCATAAAGAAGTAATTTCGTTTTCTTGATTGTTTTGCATGAATTTTATCATACCAAATATTGTTCATAGCTTGAACACAGCATGATGTTGCAATAAATAATTTATCTTCTGCATCAGCAGCAACCTATAACATAAAAATTTAAATAAAAAAAATCATTCATTTCAAAAACAAGAAAAAACATTCATTATACTTGAAGACAAGTAACATTTCCATAAAGTTCTATTCGTTGTAAAACAATTTGACATGCTTGATCTGAATCATTTTTTTCACATTGTGTTATACAATCAATAGCATATTGTTGAAAATAATCAGCATTTTTCATATAATTTTCTTTTAATTCACCATAAGGTGCTTTACGATGATATTCTTTTAAAATTTTTGTTGCAATCAATGCAGGACATATTCGATATTTAACATAACACAAAAGAACTTTAGCCATATCAATATGATTCATAAGTATTGACCATAAAAATAAATCTCGCATTATGTAATCTTGAATTATTTGTCGTTTTTCCCCATCCGCAAGATTATCATCGGATCCTGTACCTCGATTATTGCTTTGCTTTAGCTCATCATTTTCCTTATCTAAGCCCCATAATGATCGATATATTTTCTCTTGTTCATTGCTATCAAAATATAGGTTACTCATATAGTCACCAACAAGTGTAGCAAGAACAGAATTAAGCTCATCAGTGGTAGTAATATGTTTTTCAATAGAATCAGAATGTGATTCAATAAACCAACTTAAATGAGTTGTGTCCCTATTCTATATAATTTTATGAAAGCTAATTATTTGTTTCTGTTTTGTATTCAAAAATATAACATACCACTATTTCAATTTTATAAAAACATTCAATAAATTTTTTATATCGAGTTTTTCCTTTAAAGAATTCATCATCTGGAAAGAATATTTCACTTGGATCAATACCCAATTTAAGAAATTCATAAACAAATGTTGGTAAATCTTCTGTTAAAGCATATATAAAATCTTGTTCTTTGTTCTAAACACACAAAAAACAATAAATAAATTATTTCATACAATATTCTTCCAAATATGAGTACATGAAATCATCAAATCTTAGTGATTGTTCAACGCAGTATAGTACTAGTCAAAAATATAACACCAATTTATTTTTGATTTTTATCTGCGATACTAAATATGTAAAGTAAATCGAAACATTTGTTTAAATAACCAATGAAGTTCTTCATCAAATGCATTTCATACCAAAATTTCATAGATGCACTCTCAGAAAGAGTTTTCTGAAAAATCAAACACGGTAACTTGCAAAATGTTGGATAATTGTGTGACTATGAGTTTTTAAGAGTACTTTCTTAAAGAGCACAATATCTTGATGAGAAATAAGGTTTATTGTACGTCAGACGATCTTTCCTTAGAAAATTCTAAGCATAACAAATAACAAAAGATTTGATTTCTACTAATTGTATGATAAATTCATTTTTCCAATTTTTTGTGATGCTTATAACTTCTTAAGGAGAAATCGTGGGAAATACAGTGAATCCTCATTTTATTCAAAACTTTGTACTCTTAAAAACTAAGTGTCACATAATCTTCTGGAGTCCAGATGGTGCCGTATTTGGTTTTCCAACAACTTTCGTCTTATGGTTCATCTATGGAATTAAAGTATGAAATTTATGTTAGAGAGAAATGTGTTAACTATGCAAAACACAATATTTGAATTCGAGTTAAATGCTTTGTATCGCAGAAAAAAATCAAAAAAAAAATTTAGGTCTTATATTTTTGCTCAATACTGTGTATATCGTGGCTTCCAAAATTAGTCTGTCAGATTTTTTTTCAATCTTTTCCACTGCCTTAAACGCTAAGATGAATCTAAATAGTGAATGATATAAAGAATTTTATAGTCAACAACAAGGTTTGAAGATAAAAATTGTTGTTAGATTTCTAAGGATGTGGTTTCTGAAAAATAAAGTTTTTCAGTTCTTAGAAACCATACATTAAATTCTATTAGTAACTTAAAAAAATATTTTTTGGTTTTCAGAGACCCTATCTTCGAAAAACTAGTAAACGTTTTTATCTTTAAAAATTCTTGTTAAAAATAAAATTCTCTACTAAAATTACTATTTGGATTACTTCCTAACTTTTACGACGGTGGAGAAAATTGAAAATTAATCTTATCCAATGGTTTTGTGCATCTATGAAGATTTAAGAAAAAAAAGATTTAAAAATGCACGACGTTATGATGGTCGGATCCAGTTTGGGATAATCAGAAATCGATCTCGATGATCACAGCTAGAAATACATCAATTCCCAATTCTCGTGTTAGGAGAAAGCGGTTGTTGTTATATGACTAATCTTACATGTATTTTAACTAAATTAATCATTCGATCTAGGTTTTACAAGATCCATTCTTATTCTATCCTCAGAAATTGATATCGAAATTGATGCATTGCTAAGTCAAGTGCTACGAAAAATGCGAGTAACTTTTCCTACTCTGATCCGAGGGAAAATTAGTTGATTCTATAATTCCATTAATTCCGCATGATACCACTACATTCTTTGACTACGGAATACAGATATTACTTTTTTGTTTGTGAAAAAAGTGATCAAACAGATTGATTCTACCGTGTTTTGCTCAGTCAATCAAGCTGTAAGATGATTATTGGAAAACTATTCTGATCAGTCAGTTTAGTTTTGCCAAAGCACATGCTGTTGTTACAGAATCGAATAAAATTGTCGTATTACGTTGAAATCAACTGGATGCACCGGTTAAAAACTGCGCTGAAATCGGATTAGTATCTGTGATAGAGAAACACGATATGGTTTTTTCAAGATAGTAAATAGTTTAGACAATTATTTCCATAGCGGGCAACCTTGTGATTTAAAATGGTGCTGACGGTCTGACATCAGCTTTATATCCAGAGATCCGGTACATTGATGATTCCTATTTAAGTTTTTTCGGATGCCCTGAAAATTATTCCCATAAGTAATACTAATTGTCCTTTAAAAGTCTATTTATTTCCTCATCAGCTAGAACTTTATAGTATAGTTTTTAAATTAATGCAAATTTTAAAAACATGACGAAGATTTTCAATTAGTTATCTTTAAAGCAAAAATTTTTCATTCCTAATGGATGAGAGACGTAATCAATGTTTTTAATGAGAATCTGTAATAGAATGTGCATGTCCATTACATTTTCCACAGCATCATGTATCCGTACATCTTATTTTGCAGACCAATATGTTAAAAAATGTACATGTGTAAAACTGATGGCTAGCCACAGTAGAAAACTTCTATTGAAAGAACACTTCTTTCATTTTTCACTTTAATGAATACACGAAGGTTCAAGAGTGGGATACGAATGTAGAAATGACCTAGATTGTAACTCATGTTCTCCTCCACGTACCCGTGTCACGGTTGCCTTTCATTCGTCTAAAATTCACATAAAGAGGAATATCGATACGATGAGAAAAATATGAACAAAGAAATCAGAATCTGTAGTCATTGAAATTCTACGAATATAAATCATAATTAAGGTATTTTAAGATGGCTTTTTCTTTTCTCCTAGTACTTTTCTTTTCTTGTATATCTTTCAGTTACTCGAAAAAATTATTTCGAATTCATTTCAGGTAGTACACAAGCCATATACGTAAGCTACGTGTACAAGAACATGGAAGATGTGAAACCGACCCTATCTATTACTCTTAAACGTGATGTGCGTAGTCTTAATCACTTTCCACAGATAAGCTTCTTTAAAGCTTGAAGGCAAGAAAATCTTGTACGAAAAAAATAAAATGTAAAGAGTAAATTTAGTATGTAAATTTTGTTGTATTTAGGGGTACTGTGCACATTGTTGTACAAGGTACATTCTTTCATTAAAAACATTGGTGTTAAGGAAGTACAATGTGATTCTACGGAAATACTCTTGAACATTTCACTTCTTGAAATAGTAATTGTTCCTACCAGAATATTATTTAATGAATTTTGTAAAATTAATTCTTTTGCAACATGAATACAATTCCAATCCATTGCTAATCGTAATAATTGTGATCGTTGTGTACGTCGATCTTTTTTATGAATATTTTGATGTACACTTGATTGAAGTTCTCGATCTTGTAAATTAGGTAGTATTTCCAATTTTCCTTGATTTTCTTCTGTTGCATTATTTTCATCATTTTCGTTCTTATTAAAATTTTTTTGACGTGCTAAATAGATTAATTTACAAATCAATAAAAACAAAAAGAAAGACACTCAACATACCTTTACAAATACTTCGAAAAATTGTTTCTGATAAATTATCATCTGAATTTAAATTAAATACTGTTATACCAGAACGAACGGCTGGTTGAAGACAATACATAACTTGTTTAAGTGTAGTTATTAATTTAGTTGATAATCTATCATTTGAACTATTTGATGATGGTGCCTTTCTTTTTTTCTTATTCGAATCATCATCATGTGTCATAATTACACTAAGATCTGTTTGAAGTTGTTTGACATATTTACTAAACATATTTTGAAGTCTTTAAAATAAATAAATAAATAAATATGTATCTACAAAAAACAATTGTTTTAATCATTTACGGATTTCTGAATTCCTCAGACTGAGATTGAACATATTTAGCATCACTAGAAAGAATAAAAAACTTGACACAAAACTCGAATTTTATTATAAATTTTACCTTGATTTTGAATTATTTACATCATTTTGATTTGAAGTTGAAAGTGAAAAAGTTGTAACTGGTGTTACATTATCAATTTGATCAATTTCATATGCAACATCAGAGTCTTTACTATTATCATCGAATTCTTTCGTATATAATAACCAACGTTTGAAAAAATCAGCTACACGACCACTACCCTATTTTTTACACGTTTATCAAATCGTATTCATTTTATTCGTTTTTGCTTACATCAATAATAACAACAGGAATATTAGCCCGCAAATCATGGTATACATTTTTAATGGTTTCTCTACCACCTTCTACGACAATAGTAACAACAGGAGCTAAATATTTAAAAAAAATATCTGTTAACTCAATGATTGTGTGATTTAAATACGAAACATGATGTAGTTGTTATTGTTTGTCATAGGGTTTTTTTTATTCTATCTATTTAAGACACATCTGTTCATAATCGTATTACTTAATCTTCTAGTCATGCAATAAGAATTTAGTTCATATCTTCTTCTAATATATAAAGAAGAATATTTGTTTGTTTGTTCTTTATGCATTTGGACCCTGTAGGAGCCAGTGCAACCAAACTTTGCATGGTATACTCTTTCGTCTAGGGAAAGGTCAAGGACTACTTTTCGATCCAAAATTTTGATCTTTAGAGTACTTAGTAACCGCATTGTTGGAGCACCACAGTAGGTGTTCCATCCAAAATACCCGTGCGCATGACTGTTTTCTCAATAATTCGAGAACGAAAGGAGATAGAGACTTGCGGTTTTCGTCATTCGACACAACAGATTCTGGAGCATGAAAGTATGATAAAATCTGATTGGCCAACAAACCGACCAATCAGATGAATTCATCGGCAAAAATTTTAGAAACTGCATTGCAAAAGGAATTCCAATTGAACTTTAGCTAGAAATACGACTATTCAACAGAAAAGTTTGTCCTCTATCGAACCATGCAAATCCTCAGTTATTCCGTTATTCTATTCCGAAGGTTCAAACCATATATCTCAAATTAAAGAAACCCACAAAACGAAAATATCTTTGAGCACAATGCCTACAGAATAAAAATGTGCACTACAATGGAGCCGTTTTCATTGTAGTGAAAGATTCGCGCAACGTTGAACATCATCCGAAAGACAAAAAGAGGGGTCAGTGGCACAAATATCGAGGAACCGGATATCTCGCTGCTAAATTTTAAAAAATTTTCTGTTTTTCGCTCTCCAAAAGCGAAAAATGCCTGCTTTTTCTTGTGTTTTTCGGAAAATTTTTCATTAAACCACCCTCTAAATTAGGATGACCACCAGTCTCCAATGAGACAATGGGTTATGGGCTCAAAAATCTCCCCTCCTCTCTCATTTTTGAACACTACGTGTGTCCCTGAGAGCTGCATATCAAAAATCTTTATCGTGGTCTGTGGGACAGGGTGGAGTTCACTTTTCTCGCTATGAACTTCAACATGCATTTTCCATTGTGTTTCACAAAATATTAAGAAGAGCAAAAATTAAAAATTTAGAAATGTCAAAATCTTTGAAAAAGTTTTAAAATGGAAAAGATTTTAAGCCCATTTTGCGACATACAAGATTGGTAACTTATCGGAAACCATAAGGCTACCGTTTTTCAATTTTTCATAAATGATATGTTGAATTTACCCGGGTAACGCCGGGTACTTCGGATAGTGTTACTATAACGAGATGTTATTCATATATGGTCTATGTCATTGAGATAACCAATAATGACTCTGCTATCATTTCATCATCTTAATTTCAGTGCACCTCAATTGAAAAGCTCCCTTTGTATTTCTTACTTTAGACTATTTTAGTTTGCTTTTTTTTGTGAAACAGCTAAATAGTGTGGCAATACAGACAATACTGCATTGCATGATATATTAATCATAAATAACAAATAGAAATTGAAGAACAAAAAATACATCAGTAAAAAAAACAAAGGCATTTTTTTTCACCACAATTTGCAGTAAGAATAAACCGAATTTTCCACTTTCTATTGTGTTTGCACATATTGATAGACATAAATTTATTAATTGAAAATTCTGAATACAAAATCTAATTTGAACTTGGAACATCTTTCGTTCCGTTTTGGATCGAATTTTAATCAAACATATTGGCTAGTGACAGAACACAGTTAGTATAATTATCTATTGCTTTCTAGTATAGTATTATTTTATTGAAAGTTTATTCATGATTCAATTAAAACGACTGAAAAATTCTTCTTGGACAATTTAGAAAAATCGAACATCACTTACTCATACTTATATTACGATTATTAAATGAGAAAAATCTTAACCAATATTATATCATTTGAAACATCGATACAAATGCTCAAAAGTCATAGATTATATGTGTTCAGTTAGGAAGGATTCTCTGCCTGTATATAAACTTATTTTTGTCGAGACTCAGAATTTATAGAAGACCTGTTAATGAGCATTTTGACAAATGAGATCACCACAGAATACAATATATTAAATGACATTGTATAAATGATATCATTTCAAAAAAATCCAAGGATAATTATTTTTTGAATTTGTAGGTCATTACTCAATCGCGCCCTCTCTCTAGCTAAATCCCTGTATGAATACCTTTTTCAATATTAACTTAGTTTTGTATTTTTTTTAAATAATTAATTTTACATATCGTATAATCGTTTATTTTTTTTGAATATAGATTTTTATTATCAAAAAATATTGAAAATAAAATTTCATTTAAATCAAATAACATTTTCATTTCTATATCATTATGTAAATATCAATTTAAATATTAAAGTCTTTATTTATAATTTAAAATTTATTTAACTATTGATATTAAAATCTTTCATCGTTGGATTCAATTCTTAGGGGGCAAGATTTCAATTAAAATTTTTGTGTTTATATTTGATCAAATTATTTTTAAGATAATTTCAAAAATAATTTTAACTAGAACTCTTCTAAGAAAACAGTCTGCTTCATCTTCATGTGTTATTATGTAGCTCAATTGTTCGTTCTGTAGAAATGTATTTCTTTAGTAAAACTAAAATGATTATATATTGTCAAATAAAATCAATTTACTTACTAGAAAAATTAATTTCATGACGTAGTTTTGCTAATTGAACACATAATCGTGTTCGATAATCTTCTATGTCATAATATCGAAGTCTTCCATCATCTAACATAAGATAATGACTATGATTCATTTCAAGATCTCGTTGACCACTTTCACGTTTATGTATTTTCTCTTCATTATCTGTAGTATTAGATGTGCCGTTTTTTTTCTTAAGAATCAAAATAAAAAAACTTGAAAACATATCAAATTAATATTTATTAAAATATAAATCAAACTTGTTTTTTTTTATTTTCAGAATCTGTAATTTCTTCAACATCTTGTACACTTCCCCATTTACAAACTCCAATAGCTGTAAGTTTTTTTTTTGGATTTGTTAATTTAACTTTATTAATTGCTTGTCCTACAAGTTGTACAATACCAACATTATATCCATTTGTCATTAACCATGCATCTATTAAAAATAAATTAAAATAGAATTAACTTAATATATATTAATTAAATATTAACCTGATTTAAGAGCAACATGAATAATACCATTGATAAAATTTGTTTCAAGTCGATCACTTAATGTAAAATATTTTTGTCCTCCAATAATTGACATAATTAATCGAGGTTTAGGAATTTTCCAGATATTAATAAGAAGTTTTTCTACTTTTGTTTCAGATGTATCTAAAGCAAGTCGTACAAACTAAATAAATATGAATAACTAATAATTAATAAATTTACAAAAAATCAAATTTTTGATCTTACTAAAGCACCATTTGAAAGTGTACCGTGAATCGGATTAAAATTTTGCTTAGTATTAGAAAACATATCCCATTTGTTGTCTTTCGATTCGATATCTCTGTTTTCATGATTATTGTACGGACGATTACATACACATATATCTTCTTTTTCATCACTAACGAAAAAAGTTAGTATGAATAAACTTAGTTGAATTATTGATCTTCAAAATACTTTTTTTTAATAAATTTGAAGCAAGTACGATAATAAAGTTTCAAGTCATTGAAACTATCTTGAACAGTCGATTCGTTATTTAACTAAAAGAAATTTAATTTAGATTTTTTTTCAAGTAAGTTTTTTTTCTCTTTAATAGTACTGAATTGGATTGTTGTCTTGAATGTGTTCTGTTCATTATTAGTTAAAAAATATATTCAAAAAATAATTTTTTGTAATATGTAAAAGATGACACTAGGATCAAATCGATGTTAGATATTTCTATATTATAATGCAGTCCTTTGAATAGACAAAATTGTAAGTACTATAGTAACTAGCTATATGACTTTACCTTACCTTGAAAACGAATGTAATAAAAGGCAACTGCTTCAGTAGATCGAAATAATTCTAGAGGAATACGTTTTTTTTTCTTCTATTCCGTTATGCAAATATATGAATTGTTAAGGAAGACAGCTTGATTTTAATGTGTTGCAACATGCAACTATTACACTGAAAAAATAGAAACAAAAAAAAAAGACTTTTTTATTATTTAAAAGCAACCCTGTAGGCATTGACGTCTTTAGAATCGCCGTCTTTTTAAGAAGGAAAAAACAACTTTTTTTCGAAAAACGTAAAAAAAATGCAATTCTAACATATTCTTGTTTTTTCCTTCTGACTGAATATTTTAGCAAGGAAAACAAGAACTTATTATAAAATGAAACAAAAATTTTTATTTACAATCCTTGTCAATAAACTCATTGTTAAAAAAATATTGAGTCGAATAAAAAAAACAATGATGGTTAATAATGAATTATGAAAGTATTATACAGTATGTGAAATAATTATTCTGACACTTATAATACTGATATGGTAAAAAAACAATTTAACAATGAAGAAAGAACTTTTTTTTCGACTTTCAAAGAAGAAATTTCATATGTTTATTGATCTCATTGATATCATGCAATGCTTATTATTGTATAACACTATATCAACAAAGATGTATTAATGATTTTCTATGATATTTTGCATTGTTCGATGATTATTAGTATCAGTTTTCATAATAAAATCATTTATTATTGTAGAAGATATGCATTACGTAAGGATAATCTTATTAGGATTTTGTTGGTAAATTGACATATTTAGCAAAGTATTCTTTGCTAGATTAAGCTTTAATTTCGTAGAACATTTTTTTAATTTTTGCTGAATGGAGTTTTTATTTTTCATAATTTTGTTTCTATTCAATATTTAATAAATAATATGCATCCTAAAGAGTATCAAATAAATATACTAAGAAGAACATTTTACATTTGTTACTTCTTTTTTCTAACGTATTATGACAGTTAAAGAATTCATCTAAGACAAATGTATAAGTTGATAAATTATTAGAGAAGCTTTTCATCAAATACAAAATTACCTATTGTTATTGTTTATTTGTTTTAAATCTTTTAGTATTACTTATCATTACTGTCTTAGTGCCATTGTCAGTGTATCGCAAAGTTACTCTTTGATAGTAGCGTCTGCACTAATTTTAGAAATCGTTATATCTAATTCTTTTACGTACTATGTATCATCATATAAAATGTCATCAAAAACTACTTTTTTTTTTGCTTTTTACAGATATTTTAATCTTGAATGTCAGATACTCTTCTAAATCGTACATTAACTATATATAATCATTTGACATCTATTCTCATTTATTTATAAACCAAGTACAATTATTCCTATTGATTAAGAACTATAAGGATGCTTCATATTCATTTTATACTTTTGTTAGTAAATGACTAATGAATCTTATTTCAGTCTAAACAATTTTACACAATCTATATTTGAAAAAAAAAACAAACTATTCTTTTCTCTCAGATGATGTTAGTTACGGAAGTAGAGACAGATATTATGGAACATATAAGTTAAAAGATCATATATATATTTAAAGCATGAACAGAGCTAATTGTTGAATAGATAACTAGTGAATAAACTACATCATGTGTGTTTCAATGTTTTGGAATAGATAAAAAGTTGATATGCACAATTAAAATAATGAAGATATGTTCAATATCAGCTTGAATAAACAGTTATATGAGCACATGTATATTAATTTTTTAAGATATAATAATAAATAAATTCAACCTATCATTATGTAAAACAAAAAAATTAAGTCTAAAACAATAATTTTGTATACTTTGTTTTTCTCTGTTTTACGATACATCTTAGTATTTGACACTTAAAATTAAAATGTATATAAAAAATTATTTTTGATGATATTTCATTCGGTAACACCTATTTCAACAATTCGATACAAAAATCTTCTACTAACAGAGGATTTATAGTTATTATGTAGAATCTAAAAAGGCATACAGATTTCTAGGAACAAGATACTCGAAATCAATTGAATGAAATACATACAATCATGTATTTTTCTAGGAAAAAAAATGAGTCATCACTTGAAAGACTTGCCTCGTGAGATACAATTATACACTAAAATACAAGAGTGAAAATACGATTTTTAAAAAACATCGTATAACCTGTAAAAAACTAATGAGATGAGAGTATATCTCTTTTTAGAAGGATTGTTTTTTGACTACAAAGAATATGTATAAATTAAATATTCTTGGAATAATTTTGATTCAAAGAATAACTTGAAAATCTTCGATTGGAATAAATTCTACCTAATTATCTCAATTGGGCTATATTATGATAAAAATATGATCATATTTTTATTCTTTTCTATTATGTTGATTGCTTTGAACTGAATCTTTACAAATGTACGAAAGAATTCGGATTTTCAATTTTTGTTGACTTATCAAGATTTATTTTGACTCTATTAATATATAGTTCTGTATATTTGCTAGACGGAAATATACTCAAACATGGGACACAATTTTTTTTTTAATAGCACGGAAAAGTCTTTTATGAGACACTGTATCTCAAAATCTATTACGTATGACAGTTCTTTGTTATTAAGAGGAAATATAAATTCAGATCGAAATAAATTGATAATTAATAAAACAGAAATCAAAAACAGAAATAATGAATAATTGCAATAAATAATATGTGAATATAGTATTGCTTTCTTTCTATTTGAACAAACTCTATAACTATTTCCATATAAATCTTAAAAACAGATTTTCATATAATAAAATAACGAATTCATTAATCGTACCAATGTAATCCTATAGCGATAGATCATAAAATACCAGGATTGAAAAATATTATGTTTTTAATCAGTATCAAGAAATAAGATCAAATTGTAAATATATAAAAATTATATTGTCAGAAATTCTTCATTAGTGGGTAATTTGCAAGGATATTGTACATAAATGAAGTTCCATAAATTATACAGAATTTTTAAAAAAGTATTGCTCACGTCATTTCAATAAATATTGGTGTAGTTTTTATATCGTAGATTGTATTCTGCATATAGCTAATAGAATTTTTTAAATTTAAAATAGTTTTCAATGTTTTAGACAAAAAAAAGTGTTAATCTCATTTGATAACTCGACATCGTTCACTATACTTTCTAGAGAAAGTCTAGAATAGTATGTATTCCAGAAACAGAAAATGTTCTGTACATATTGCTTCTCTATGTACATTTGCATTTATAAACACTACAGGACATTAAAAAGAAATCACCTGTACTATATTTTTTTTTGTTCATATCGATCATGTCTATTGGAATATAGTACAATAAAAACTGAAGCAGATAACAGAGTTTTAATCAGATTCGACCTGTAAAACAGCAATCTTAATTTAATTTGGTTCTTTTCGATAGTACTTGCACTAAGATTGTATTCGATTGAGCCAACTTGAACCCTTCAACAACTCGATTCGACTTTTATCATTGTACCGTACTGAAAGCAAATTTACCTTGACTTTATCAAAATGAAAAATATCAAAAATGAAAATAACAGAGATATGTAACAATAGAAGTATTGAAAATAATAGTATATGAAGAAAGAGAAATTCCTTCAGATTTCCTTCTCACTCTTGCCTCCATATTTTTATCGTTGATTTTATTTTTTGTTATTTTCACCGATCGATTATAATAGGATTCACCTCACAGTCTGTCAAACAGTAAGCGACCGTGTTTACAAACAATTGTTTGCGTTTTTGTAATCATGAACGTGAACAGAAAAAAATAGAAATTTTCGATGATCATGATCAAACATTCTGGTCACGCGATACACCACCAGTAGCTCATAACTGAATACGCTGCGGTCTGCAGCAAAAACTTATTGTTTTTGACGAGCATAGTCAGCTATCTTTATTTTTTCCGACTCTATCTGATAATGATAACCAATAATCTAAAACTGTTTTATATAAGTATAAGCGGACGTCTGTTGTAGATCATTCATTATGTATGCGTACTTATCAGCAACTTCCATAAATATAATTCTTTTCTCTCATTATTATAAATCAGACCTAAGAAAATAAATAAATAAAAATTAAGGATAAATCACTCATAAAATGCTTTGGAAAATTCTGCTAATATATATTTGTGTGTAAAGACAAAAAATACAACTTGTTGAATTGGACATTTCTATTCATGACATTCATGTAAGACATGAAAGGCAAGAATATTTAAGCAAAGTGAAGCCGTATAATTGAATATATAAAAATAATATTATTGAGTAATTTGTTCACATACTGAACAAATAATATGAAGTTCTTCATTGATTAAAAGTAAGACACTTTATGTTCTATGTTCAAGCAGATCTTTAATTTTTACATGAAAGTATTCAATGAAACAGAAAAACAAATGCTTTTGCCTTTGTTAAATATTTATTTGAAGGTTATTATGAAAATATTTGATGTACGAAAACATCCGCAATAATATAAATCTTATTCAAAATTATTCTCTAAAGAAATTTTTCAAAATT